CATTCCCAGGAATTCCAGGTGGGTTTTGGGTCATTCCCAGGAATTCCAGGTGGGTTTTGGGTCATTCCCAGGAATCCCAGGTCCATTTCCCACCGCTCCGGGCTGGATCCTTCTGCCATTCCCACCAATCCCGGGGACGATTTTGGGCGATTCCCGCGGGAATTCCGCCCCGAATTCCCGGAATTCCGCCCCGAATTCCCGACTCACGTCGTCGTAGACCTTGGTGGAGGATTCCACGTAGGTGGATTTGTCCTTGAGGCTCAGCCGGGGGAAGATCCCGGCCACTTTCTGCTGCCGCTCCAGCTGCCAAAAACAGCCGGAAAATCCCAAATTTACCCGCGGGAAAACGGGAAAATCCCAAATTTACCCGCGGGAAAACGGGAAAATCCCAAATTTACCCACGGGAAAACGGGAAAATCCCAAATTTACCCGGGGGAAAACGGGAAAATCCCAAATTTACCCGCGGGAAAACGGGAAAATCCCAAATTTACCCACGGGAAAACGGGAAAATCCCGAATTTACCCGCGGGAAAACGGGAAAATCCCAAATTTACCCGGGGGAAAACGGGAAAATCCCAAATTTACCCAGAGGAAAACGGGAAAATCCCAAATTTACCCAGAGGAAAACGGGAAAATCCCGAATTTACCCGCGGGAAAACGGGAAAATCCCAAATTTACCCACGGGAAAACGGGAAAATCCCAAATTTACCCAGAGGAAAACGGGAAAATCCCAAATTTACCCAGAGGAAAACGGGAAAATCCCGAATTTACCCGCGGGAAAACGGGAAAATCCCAAATTTACCCACGGGAAAACGGGAAAATCCCAAATTTACCCGCGGGAAAATGGGAAAATCCCAAATTTACCCGGGGGAAAACGGGAAAATCCCAAATTTACCCGCGGGAAAACGAGAAAATCCCAAATTTACCCGGGGGAAAACGGGAAAATCCCAAATTTACCCCCTGGAAAACGGGAAAATCCCGAATTTACCCACGGGAAAACGGGAAAATCCCAAATTTACCCACGGGAAAATGGGAAAATCCCAAATTTACCCGCGGGAAAACGAGAAAATCCCAAATTTACCCAGAGAAAAACGGGAAAATCCCAAATTTACCCCCTGGAAAAATCCCAAATTAATCCCTTGGGAAAATTCCAATTTAACTCTTTGGGAAAATCCCAATTCAACCCCAAAAAATCCCAATTTTAGTGGGAAAATCCCAATTTTAGTGGGAAAATCCCAATTTTAGTGGGAAAATCCCAATTTAACTGGGAAAATCCCAATTTAACTGGGTAAATCCCAATTTTACCAGGGAAAAATCCCAATTTAACCCCCAAAACATCCAAATTTAAGCAGGAAAATCCCAATTTTAGTGGGAAAATCCCAATTTAACTGGGAAAATCCCAATTTAACTGGGAAAAATCCCAATTTAACTGGGAAAAATCCCAATTTTACCGGAAAAATCCCAATTTAACCCCCAAAACATCCCAATTTAACTGGGAAAATCCCAATTTAAGCAGGAAAATCCCAATTTAACTGGGAAAATCCCAATTTTAGTGAGAAAATCCCAATTTAACTGGGAAAAATCCCAATTTAACTGGGAAAAATCCCAATTTAACTGGGAAAAATCCCAATTTTAACGGAAAAATCCCAATTTAACCCCCAAAAAATCCCAATTTTACCGGAAAAATCCCAATTTAACTGGGAAAAATCCCAATTTAACCCCCAAAAAATCCCAATTTAACCCCCAAAAAATCCCAATTTTACCGTAAAAATCCCAATTTAACCCCCAAAACATCCCAATTTAAGCAGGAAAATCCCAATTTAACTGGGAAAATCCCGATTTTTCCGGGAAAAAACCCCGATTTAACCCCTCAAAGCCCATCCCCAGCCCCTCGGGAGCCCCCGATTCCCGAATTCCCGGTTTTTTCCCGGTTTTTTCCCGGCTCACCCGCACGTCCATGACCTTGGTGATCTTCCAGAGGTCGATGAGGAGCCCCACGAGGACGCTGAGCTGAACAACCACGTTGGTCTCGTTGTCCAGGATGTACAACAACACCACGAGGGACTGGAACACCCCGAAAAACACCGAGCGCACCGACAGCCCCTCCAGGGACTGCCGGCTGTTCCAGAACTGGATGTCTGGGAGAGAGGGAATGCCGGGAATTGTGGAAAATGGGGATTTGGGGGGGGGAAATCCCACTGGGAATGGTGGGAAATGGGGATTTGGGGTCTTTAAAGTGGAAAAATCCCACTGGGAATGGTGGGAAATGGGGATTTGGGGTTTGGGAATGGTGGGAAATGGGGATTTGGGGGGAAAAATCCCACTGGGAATGGTGGGAAATGGGGATTTGGGGGGAAAATCCCACTGGGAATGGTGGGAAATGGGGATTTGGGGTCTTTAAAGTGGAAAAATCCCATTGGGAATGGTGGGAAATGGGGATTTGGGGTTTGGGAATGGTGGGAAATGGGGATTTGGGGTTTGGGAATGGTGGGAAATGGGGATTTGGGGTCTTTAAAGTGGAAAAATCCCATTGGGAATGGTGGGAAATGGGGATTTGGGGTTTGGGAATGGTGGGAAATGGGGATTTGGGGTTTGGGAATGGTGGGAAATGGGGATTTGGGGTCTTTAAAGTGGAAAAATCCCATTGGGAATGGTGGGAAATGGGGATTTGGGGGGAAAATCCCATTGGGAATGGTGGGAAATGGGGATTTGGGGGGAAAATCCCATTGGGAATGGAAGAAAAGGGTGGGAAATGGGGATTTGGGGTCTTTAAAGTGAAGAAATCCCATTGGGAATGGTGGGAAATGGGGATTTGGGGGAAAAATCCCACTGGGAATGGTGGGAAATGGGGATTTGGGG